ATTATTATTATTATTATTATTATTAATTATTATTATTATTATTATTATTATTATTATTATTATTATTATTATTATTATTATTATTATTATTATTATTATTAGTCGAGGGGCTAGATGAGAGATACAGTACCACGGCTACAATGTGCGATCTGTCGAAGGCGTTTGACTGTGTCGATATTGAGCTTCTGTTGCACAAACTTGAATATTATGGAATAAGGGGGAAATTTTACGACTTATTAAAATCCTATTTGACAAATAGAAGACAATTTGTTAGTTATGCAAATGGCGAGTCAAACACTCTCTCTATCAATATAGGAGTACCGCAAGGATCTGTGTTGGGTCCCATTTTGTTTCTTTTATATATAAATGATTTACCAACAGCATTTGATTCGGGTTCAGTCTTCATGTTTGCAGATGATACTACGATTACCTCAAGAGTGGGCAAGTTTCACAAAGACGAACATATTTTAAAAGCCAAGCAGTGGTTTTCCTCAAACAGACTTCAACTTAACGAATCAAAAACTAAACAAATTACATTCACATCAGACAAATTAATAAATAAGTCGGAACCTGTAAAGTTGTTGGGTCTTACCCTAGATACAAACCTTAATTGGATGGCACATGTTAATGATCTCTGTAAAAGATTGTCAACACAAATATTTGTATTGCGACGGCTCAAACCATTTTTAGATAGTAACACTCTAAGGACCATATATTTTGCTCTTATCCATAGTAAACTAACTTATGGTATAATCATCTGGGGTAATACAAATGTACAGAAGTTATTCAGTCTGCAAAAGAGTGCTATTCGAATAATTGACGGTTCTCCATATGGTGAACATTGTCAACCCCTCTTTAAGAAATACAAGATTCTTCCCCTACCTTGTCTTTACATTTTTGAGGCGTTATTATCGATTCATAAAAACTATTCTGAAAACCACACTCATTCGGAGTATCACAACTACAACACCAGGAACAGGGAGAATCTTGTAAATCAGCACTCACGCATTAATATTACGCAAAACAACAAAATTGATTTAAACCTATATAACCACTTTGTCAGATATAGTGTAATTCCAGTAAAAGTTATGACCATAAATGTATTTCATAAAGCCGCAAAGGAATTTTTGTTAAAGCACTGCTTTTATTCAGTAAAAGATTATCTTCTTTTCAATCAGAATTGAATATATATTTGTAAATTTTAAATTTTAATAGTAATTTTAAGTGTGTATGTGACTTAAAATTTTATTTTAACTTGTATGTAGTGATTGTGACGGCCCTTATAAGAGGTCTTATGTTTTTATTTTATCAACAATATATTTTTTTGGACCTAATTATAAAAATGTGACATCAAATGTACTAAAGTATGTAATTGTCAATAAATGCATCTATCTATCTATCTATTATTATTATTATTATTATTATTAATAATATTATTATTATTATTATTATTATTCTTTTATTATTATTATTTTTGTCGAAACAAGTATGTATTACTCATCGACTAATACTTTATTTATCAAGTATAGTGGGTAAATTTGTATTTTATAATTTTGTATTATGTATCCTATTATTTTAATATTGCCTATTGTATACTGCATATTGCATATTGTATTGTATATTGTATATTGAATTTGTATAATTGTATATTATTGATAATTAAAGTTATTTTATTTATTATTTATTATTTATACACACGCACGCACGCACGCACGCACGCACGCACGCACGCACGCACGCACGCACGCACGCACGCACGCACGCACGCACGCACGCACGCACGCACGCACGCACGCACGCACGCACGCACGCACGCACGCACGCACGCACGCACGCACGCACGCACGCACGCACGCACGCACGCACGCACGCACGCACGCACGCACGCACGCACGCACGCACGCACGCACGCACGCACGCACGCACGCACGCACGCACGCACGCACGCACGCACGCACGCACGCACGCACGCACGCACGCACGCACGCACGCACGCACGCACGCACGCACGCACGCACGCACGCACGCACGCACGCACGCACGCACGCACGCACACACGCACGCACGCACGCACACACACACACACACACACACACACACACACACACACACACACACACACACATACAGACATCATCGCGAAAATAGTCAAAACGGATTCAGGGGACCTCAAAACGTAAAAATCCGTCGAAAATTTGAGGTCGAAAAAAATCATGATTCCTATACTTTCCTTATATCTGTATACAGATAGGAAAGTAAAAACAATGTTGACAAGTAAAAAAATAAGAATTCTTAATTTATTCCACAAACTTTTGTGGTTCTTGTACCTTTCCTTGGTAATTTGTTTAGGTGTTGGAGTTAATAACTTGTAACCAAATTAGCCAAAGGAGTAGTTGTCAAAAGAGAAACGGCCGCCCATATATTGTGACTATGGCTTTGAGATTTGTTTGATTATTTTGTTTCGTTAGAAAGCATATTTTACTTGGCTTGTAATTTTTTTCTTTTATATATAATAATTGAAGAACGGATTGACATTGTTAACAGAGATATTATTTTTAAGTACTTTATTTTTACCTCAAACTGTTTTATAGAGGGATATTATATCAACATTTGTTTATGTCAGAGCTGACCAGGATCATAGCTGTAGTTTTGTAAATTTATTGTATAATATATACAAGTTTATTAAAAATATGAATATAAAACTATTTACAATAAAACAGCTTATATAAAATATTTTATTTATTCTTACAAATATTTTTAGTCGCTGTCATCTGAAGAGTATGAGTGTTCTACAGATTTAATCAATGAGAACTGCAAATTTGTGAGAGCTCCGATCACTTTTACAATGGTGGTGGCATGAGTTTGAAGCGTGTGGGGTATAAAATTTATAATCTTATAGCAACTTCATTCTGCGAATAGCTCTTTCCACATGTATCCGGGCTCTTGCTATGGTCTCTGGTATACTTGTGCAGGAGTAAATTGGCCAGTCATTAAAAAGGGTGGAATGTTTAAATGTACACCAGTTAGTAAAATGTCTTTTAACAGAAATCCCTTATTTGTTAATATTAAATCACCATCATTCATTTGTTTTAAAATTTCTGAATGCTGCACAATTTTTTTATCTGATGCCGATCCAGGGTACAGATCACTAATAAATGTTACAACACCGTTTGGAGCAACACCTATTAAGTCTTTCTACCTATTCCTATGTTTATATGTGCTGTATGTAGCTTTTTGAGTGGCCATAGAACTTCTCGGAGTCATTGTTGCTAATTCAGTACAGTCAATAATAATCCTACAATTAGTGAATGTACTAAAACTACTAGGTAAGCAAGTTTGACTTTTTTTACGAGATGGTATTTCTGACATAATTTGCTTATAAATAATTTCATGCAAAACATAAATCCATGTTATTACAACATTTGTAACAGTTGCCTGTGAAACATTATATAAATGAGCAAGATGTTCATGTGGAAAATTCTGTCGTAACTTCATTAAGCACATCAGTAATTGATCTTTCTTTGAAATTTTCTCTACATTCCATTTCAGGTAATAATTAATCTCTAAGTCATACAAACTATCAAAAACGCCTGTATTCGGAAGTCCTGTATACATTGAAATCAACTTATCAAAATAACAAATTTCTTCGTAACTAAAGCCACTTCTTTTCTGAGATTTGAGTTTTTTCAAGTCCCTTTTTAGAAAATAACTTTCGGATTCAAATAACTCATTTGAAAAGTTGCTTTCACCAGTACCTTTTGATGTGGGTGGCTGCGGATTCACATAAATACTCCTATCTAAAGGTATTTCTGCCTGTATAGGATCATCAATTTTTTCTGAATCATCCAAACTTACTTCTGTAACTGTGGCCGTGTCATCAGTTGAAGTTTTAACCTTTCTCTTTTTCTTCTCCGGTGATGTAAAAGTAAAGCGCTTCTTTAAAATGTGTAAAAATAATTGTGGTCAATTTTCTCTTTTCTCTTTCGGAAAATGACAACTACAAAGAAAGGCGCCTGGGCCAGGTTCTTCATTGCGTCTAACTAATGTTTTCCATTTCGTTCTCTCCTTTATTTCTTTTGGGAATTTATAAAACCTACAATGTTCCCTTACATTGTAATGTTTACATTTAGGAGCCCAACACATTACCATGTTTTCTATAGGTACCTGTAACAATATATGTATAAAATAGCAGAAAAATAAACTATTAAAATGCATTAAGAATACTATTAAAAATCAATACTTAAGGTTAGGTTAATTTAATTTTTTTTTATATTCATAAAAATAACATCTTACTTACCAATTATTTGTCTAATTATTAAAACAATTTAAATTCTTGTTTTTATAGGTATTTACGGCTTAAATACGTTTATCTTCACCTTTAAAAGTCGATAGAAAAACAGCATATGCAAAAAACATACAAACAAAGTTTGTTTGGATAATGCACCTTGACCTGACCAAACAAAATGGCCGTTTCGACATATGACTAATTATACGTATTCTCAACAAACACTAATGTTAGATATTAAAATTTGTTTTTTCATTCGGGGGTGTCTACAATTTGTTTGAAAGTGTTGGATGAGTTTAAATTAATACAAGGGTTTTTATATAAACTTGTGGGGTGTCAGAATTCCACAAAAAAGCATATCGCTAAGTGGCGGTAGAAACTAAAACTTGAATATGCGAGACACGGTGACTAACATATGTGTTTGTTTTGTTACAAGTGGGAAGCACTGCACTAGGTACGAAAATGAATTGGTGGGGACGCTTGATGTGTCGCAATATATCTCGAAACAATCCTAATTAATAAAACTTGTTGCTATTAGTGAGTTATAGGTAAAAACTATTTTTAAATATAAAAGGAATAAACTACACAGCTTGGCAACAGCGCACCAGACAATGCATATCGGTTCTTTTACGAAATAGCTAAGCACTACGTTTCTTTACAATGTATGACCGGGTTTAAAAGTAAATAGAGGAGCTTTGATAAAAATTAACTACTTTTATTGAATTATATCTATATTTTTAACAAATTATATAATTTACTTATTTTCGGTAATGGTTTTTTCGATCCAGTCCATGAAGTTGGAAAGCTTGGTGTACACAGTTGGAATTCCGCGGTAACCGCATGGCTTTAAGTGCCACGTAACTACACCGATGACGGTTCCGTCTTGACTCAAAGGACCACCGAGATCACCGTCGCAGGAGTTTGCTGTTTTGCTTAATGTACATAAATTGCTCTTCTCATCTACATTAGAATATACGTCTGGGAAAATTTCGTTGATGGCTTTAGTGCAATCTAAAATGATAAAAGAAAACGTAAAAATTGGTTTAACTAGCAATAAGTACTTTAAAATAAGAACTGTCTGTAGGTATAGGGGTTTAAAGGGATACAGATATAACACAGAAAATTAGATAATGCTTTATTTCAATGATCGAAAAAAAATCTTCTGTAGAAAACTGAAATTAAATGCTAGGACATCAAACAAGTTCCCCGACAATAAACAGGTTAAACAATTCTGGAATAAACAGTTGGGGAACATTGACCCAATTCAACATCGAAACTAGCTGAATTACTGAAGATCGTAGGTATTTTCAAAAATACTTCCAAGTTCTTAAAAGTCGTTAAAAACTGACGAGATTTCTAACATCATCATTGAGATTCACAACTGGAAAGCACCTGGCCAAGATGGTGTGCAGAACTATTGGGTAAAAACCTTAACACGAAAATTTAATAACCTTAATGACGTAATTAAACATTTTTAAAAAAATAGAACGATATGCAAAATTATATCATTTAGTACAGCGTTACTCTAAGTGTGTTCCGCGGAGCCCTGGAGCTCCGCAAAGCTTTTGTGGGGGCTCCGCGAAGAAAATAATAGTCATAACAAAAAAACCAGTAACTACTGCTACAACGGGACTTGGCTTGAGGACTTTTTTCTGTTTTTTTTTTTTGTTATTTTTTTATTTTTTTTGTTTTTGTTTTTTCTTTGTTTTTTTTTTAGTTTTTTTTCTGTTTCTTCTATTTTTACTGTTTTGTTTTTTTAGAATTCAGTAAGAGAAAGGAGTATATGATTTTGGTATACTTGTAGGAGGACCTTTTTTTTTAGAAGTAGGGAGTGTATGATTTTGGTATGAACACCTTTTTTCTTGAGGCCAGAGAAGGATGATATGATTTTGAGAATTTTGTTGTAGGGGCTCTGCAAAGAAACGGAAGGGTCCTGGCAACAGGCTAGAGCAAGGAGGATTTTGCTTGGAGGACTTTTTTTTAGAAATGTGTTTAGAGCTCCGTCAAATATTTCTCTTTTCAAAAGGGTTCCGTCACCAAAAAAGTTTGAGAACCACTGATCTAGCGTATCTCAACAGCTTTATACCAACTTCGAACGAAACAGCATCATAGCAGACCAACAGAAGGGATGCACCAAAGCGCGATGTGGTGGTCATAATCGACTCTGTAATCTGCAATCAAGCACGAACCAAACGTAAGAATCTGCAGATGGCCTTACATCGATTATAAAAAAGCCTTTGGCCCGTTACTAAACATCTTACAGATATATAAGATTAATATCGTTATCTTTCGAGGCATACTATGCACAAGCAATTTAATTAACAATTAAGTTGTTCGTTGTTTCATTGTCTAATTTTAAAAGTAATATGTTAAACAATAAAAACTGGTTATGTGTGCTTTTGGTACTCATGAGAATAGTCCCCATATTTAGACTGCAAGGGGTGCTAGAAGTTTGATAGAATCGAAAAAGTTACTTTTCTTTGAATTTAGTAATAGATAAAGTTCAGGTCCAAATAGTTAATGATACTTACCATCATTAGATATAAGAGTTACATCACGGGCTGTTCGGAGGTCGTTGCGGACAGAGAATTTACTGTTACCGAAACCAGTCACATTAGCTATACCGGTGAATTCTTGGCCTTGCTTGGGCAATTTTGCTGCCTGAACTTTGTCGTTGAAGGTCAGTGGTTGAGATAACTTAAGTAGAGCAAGATCATTTGGTCCGAATCTACAAGAAAAATCGTTATTTGTTTTGGATGAACGATTCAGAATACCAAGTTAAAAAAATTTCGACAAAAACTTACCCGTCAGAAGGGGCATCAGGATGAATAAATTCAGCTTCAATGTCAACGGTGACTTTGTCGTCTTGGGTTAAGTCAGATGCTCCAACATCAACCTTTTGTGCTGAAATGGACGCAATGCAATTGGCGCCGGTCAATACCCAGTTTTCGTTAATGATAAGAGCAGTGCAAACGTGTGTGCATGCAAAAGGACAATATTGGACGGAAGCCACGTATGGAAAGTCTTCTATTTCGGCGTTATTGCCACCGTCAATATTTAGGTGATGCTTGCTGAATTTGGCATTTGGTGCTCCTAAAAAAATATTGATATCGTAATGGAATAAATTTCCAACCTGACTTCCAGTTAGCTATGATTTTGATAATTTGTGTATTGTTTTATTTAATTTTATTTAGTTTTTCTGTTCAGTGGTTTGTATTTGACTGTAATAATCAAGTTATATGTTTTTTAAATGATGGAAAAACACGAAGTACGAGCTGTGTGTTATAAAAGATATCCACCTTGAAGGTCCTACGAATGCAGAGCGCCCTGGAACTTTATTCACTAACTCGTGAGACTCATCCTGTAGGGGCACCGAGCAATTATTACTAGAGAGTATACCCTTCTTTCGCTCGCTAAATTATGTAATCAACATCTACTACCCCTGAGGGGGGGGGGGGTAAATCCCTCTGTGGTAATTGGCTAATTTAGGTTTGCCATGAAAAATTTTGAAAAGACAATTTTGCGAATGTTTTCTTTAATAAGTACATTTTCGTGTTCGCCTTTTTTGACACTTGAAGAACGTGCTCAGACCAGCTGAGATTTTCAGTAATTATAACACCTAGATCATTGTAAGATTTAACTTTATTTAACGTGTGACCGTTTAGAAAATAATTATGACGAGGATTAATTTTACTAATATGGAGAACTACACTTTTATTTGTATTTAGAGGTAGCATCCAATCTGAGCACCAGTATGGAGTCAAGGTCATCTTGAAGCTGTTGAAAGTTCAAGGACGGGTCACTAAATATTTTAGTGTCATCTGGGTAAAAAATATTAATGCACTTGATATGGAATTGAAGGTCACTGGCATATATTATAAATAAGAGTGGACCCAGAACTGATCCCTGAGGAACCCCACTCAAAACTGTTGTTTCAAATGAATGCGAATTTCAAACTTTAACACAGTACTTTCTATGAGTTAAGAATGACTCGATCCATTTAAGTAAATCACCACGTATACCAAGGTGTTCTAACTTATCTAGTAATCTACGTTTCAGCACACGATCGAAAGCTTTCGCAAAATCCAGGTAAATAACGTCTATAGGTTTTTTCCTGTCTAATGAAACTGTCCACTCATTTACACACCAAAGCAAATTGGTCATGGTTGATCGGCCGCCCTTTTACAAATCCATTTTGCTGTTTGGGAATGATTTCTTCCACTAAGAGAAACTGAGAAACGTGCTCTGTTATTATGGATTCGATAACTTTACAGATTATGGGTGTGAGTCTGATTGGGCGGTAGTTATTAGAGTCTAGTTTATTTTCTTTCTTCAAAATGGGTGTTACGAATGCTGTTTTCCAGATAGAGGGTAATGCTTGTGCATTAAAAGACAAAGACATTATAATAGATAAAGGAACTGATTAGAGCATTTTTTTTTTTAAATAGAGAAGATATTTGATCTAAACCCGGAGAAGAGTTGCTTTTTAATTTTAAAAGGTGTCGTTTGACAATTTCAGGAGTAAAATTGAGCCGTTCTAAGGAAGAAGGAATTCTTTCAGGTGAGATATCTGGTAACTGATCCTGGGGAGGTTCGTTGGTGAAAACTTTTGTAAAGGTATTAGCTAAAAGTTCAGCCGTTTCGAAATTATTTTGGCAGGGACTTTCATCTTCTTTGTTTTGTAAAGAAATGAATATTTTTGATGACAGTGAAGATCTAATATATTTGTATAATTTTTTACAGTTTTGGCTGCATGCTATCGACTCTTTATATTCTTCTCGGACCTCATTTATAAATTTCTTTAGGTCCTCGGAAAAATATTTGTGATATTCTAAATCGACAATATTATTTAATCGCTTATATTTACGCCATAATTTACTTTTATGTCTAATCAAGGATATTAGTTCTCCGTTGATCCACGGTTTTAATTTATTTTTGTAAAACACCTTCTTTTTAGAGTATTGGATTTTATGAGTAGCAATAACGGTTGAGAACTTATTCCATACTTCTGCCGGATCTCCAGAGTCACCCAATGTTTCTATTCAATCGATGGTAGATAAATGACGTTTTAAGTTATCGAATTCGATGATGTAGTATGATCTTTGTGAGATGGGTTCTCTATGTTAAACTGTGTATGACTTATGATGTCTGCAAGATCCGATATTCCTTTCGGAGATTGAATGATAGGGTCAGTTAATAATTGTTTATCATTTACAAATAACAAATCTAGCGTGCAAGGTAAGTTATGTTACTAAAGTCGTTACCAAATTGTGACTGTACAAATTTTTTAAATTTGAAATAGAGGCAGAAATTAAAATACCAAGTAAAATTACTAAAAATGAGCACAGCACCGAGTTTTGTGACTCCGAATACCCAACCCAATTTATACAAAGTGTTACGGGTTGCAATAGCTATTCCTGTTAGCTCTGCCGGGTGCGGACACAGTGTTTCGACTATAAGAAGAATTAAAACTTGACTACTCAAGAAATATTTTCGCAGCTTTCCATACATCACATCGAAAATGAGTTGGCTAAACAGATTAACCCTTAAAAAGTCCTGAAAATTTTTGCAAATAAAAATTGAAAAAGGCCTTGATTTAATTTTGAATGCAGTTTTAAGAGGGGATCAAGCCCCCTTCCAAGAAAAGTTATTCCGCCGCCAATGGTAATAGGTAATGTGCATTTTGACTATTTTGAGTTATGCAGATCACTATGATCTAAAAAAATGTTTTTCTGGTGTTATAGTCAGGTATAAAAACATTCATTTATTTGAACACAGTTGCAATATACATTTTAATTAGTTTTTAAGTTAATATCTAGTAGGATATCTTAAAATGTATTTATGTGAGATTCTTTATTCTACATTTTTGTTAGTGAAATAAGATATTTTAAGATGTCCTACTGTTTTCTCTAATTACCTAAAAAGTATAAAACAATACAAAGACTATTTTGAAAAAAAAAAAAGAGATATACCTTTAATTAAACACACAATTAATTCATTCAATTATACGAGAACTTAAGGCAGAAATCCAGAAAACTTCTAAAAATGTGTTTTTACTATCTCACAAAATAACATTTTACAAAATAATTATTAAGAACAAGTCGGCACTTAATAATACTAACGATAAGTTTGTATAATATGTATTATACAAATCACAAAGAACTACACAAAATGACATTAATAATAATTGAGGAATAAAAATGTTAAGTATATTGATGACATTAAAAGTTGATTTTCTCGAAATTAATTTTTTTTGAATTATCCCAGTACCTACCTACTATTGCTCTAGCCTTCTAGCACAATGATATTATATGAATGTGAATTGTGTGATATCTTATATTTTGGGAATAAAATAATTTATTTTTTCGCAGGTTTCTATTAATAACGATTCCAAGAACTTCTGAAAATATTATTAAAACGGCCTTCACAAATATAATTCTTATAATAATAATAATAATAATAATAATAATAATAATAATAATAAGTATAATAATGTTTATTTCTCATTGTTCTTTATGTGTACCATGTAAATACAAGATATAGTTTAAAGCTTAATTAACAAATATTAAGATTCTTAAATTAATACCATGATAGGACAATATAGTTAATTAAATATGTACCTAAAGGTTTACAAACATAAAATAAACAGGAATCCCTAAGAAACCTTAACGGTTGTGTAAGGGATATAATATAAGATGTAAAATTAATATTTAAATATAAAATACAAACCCAATGTAATTTAGTTATTTATCATATGGTGGATAAGATGTCTGTCTGTTAAATAAATATATTTCTTAAGATATTTTTTGAATAAATTTAGACTTTTTATCGTGAGAAAATAGGTTTTATAAATTTCAGGTAGGTTATTAAAAAAATTAGCTGAAAGGTTAGTATAACATTTCATTCCTATGGTTTTTCTTACTGAAATTGTAGCGACATATTTATTGCGTTTTTGACGTGTATCATAAGAATGTGCTATATTTTGTAGGAGAGACTTATTTTTATAGGTATATAATATAACATTAAAGTAAAACAACTGCCTGATATCAAATACATTACTTTCTTAAAAACTTAAATCTGACGAGTATATCCATGGTTTTTTGTAGATTATTTTTAAGATCTTTTTTTCTAAGACTTCTAATCTACCCAGGTGGATATTCGAGCAACCCCACCAACATAAAATACAATATTGAAGTCGTGATTCTATGAATGCATGATATAATATTTTTAATTGTTTTAACGGTAGTAAATTACTAAAATATTTAAATTTATATATCATGACTCTTAAAGGTTTTGTTACTTGCAGGATGTGGTGGTCCCATCTTAAATGTGAGAGTTTAGTTATTCCTAAGTATTTAATTTTAGTTTTAACATGAATTTTTAAAAGTTTTCCAGGTATATTAAGGAAGGTGTAAGACGGTAAGTGATTATCGTAACTCGCAAATGGAATGAAGTATGTTTTCTGGAAGTTTATAGTCAATAGGTGATAATCGAACCAGTTAATTACTCTTGCCAAATCATTTTCAGCTACAGTTTTTAAATGTTCCCATGAATCAGAGGAATACAAGATTGCAGTATCGTCGGCAAAACTATAAACTTTTCCCACAAAATTTTGTGTAAGTAACCTATTTATATATATGGAAAATAGCAACGGTCCTAAAACCGTGCCTTATGGAACACCGAAACTTAAAATATTTTCGTTTAAATAATCTTTTAAAAGGTTCATTGCTAAGCCTCGTATACCTGCATTCTCCAAAGCATCAAATAATTGTGTATGATCCAGCGTATCGAATGCCTTTGCAAGGTCCAGAAAAACACCCTAGGTGGGTCTCACAAGATCCATATGATCATACAGTTCACCGATTATACGAGCAGTTGCATCATTTGTCGATATTCCTTTTTTGAATCCAAATTGTAGATCTGATAATTGAGTTTTTTTCAAAATAATGTGAGTCTATTTTTTAGAGATTTTTCAAAAATTTTACAAAATGTATTAATGAGTGATATAGGTCTGTAGTTTCCTACTTCACTTTTACTACCTTTTTTGTATATCGGAACTACTACCGCCTTCTTGAAACTAGGCGGAACCATAGCTGTGTCATATATTTTATTTATTAAATGGACTAGTAGTTTCGCTATTTCTTTGAAAATTAGTTTAACAGTAGTTCCCTTTATTTTATCTTCACCCGGTGCTTTTCCAGTCTTTAGTTCGTTTATTATGTCTAGAATTTCATGTTTTTCCACTGATGTCATAAAAAATGAGTTTTGGATAGTAGCTCTTTTCGGTTTACTTGTTTGGGGTTTATTAATATTTTTGCATAACTCTCTCCTACCGACGCAAAATAATTGTTAAAATAGTTTGCTATACGAAAGGGAGCTGTTAAAATCTCTCCATCAGCAGATTGTATTTCTTTTGCACATTGTTCTCTATTTACTCCACATACATTATTTACAATATTCCATAAATTCTTAGTATTTCCCGTATTATTATCAATTTTTTTCTGAAAGTATTTAGATTTTGTCTGTACTATTATTTTATTTAATTTATTTCTAAATGTTGTATACGCTTTTTTTTTATTATTTTGAGGATCAGCTTTATGTAAATTATATAAATTAGCTTTAGTTTTAATAGATGTTATTATCCCTTTAGTGAGCCATTCAGTTCGTGGTTGCTTTTCCCTTTTAAGTTTTATTTTAGTTGTGTTTTTATTTACTAAGTTACTAATAGTTTCTTGTAAATATAGAAAAAAAAATTGGATCTGTAGAAGAGTAAACAGATGCCCAAGAATAGTTTACTATATCTTTTTTCAAGTTTTCATAATTAGTATAAAACTTAAATTTTAAATTATTATTATTGATATTAATACTAGTGTTCGTATTCTTATTATTGTAATCTAATTCCAAACCCCCAATAACAGTTTTATGATTATTAATAGATGTGGCGTATGTTAAGGATAAACAATTTGTAAGTTTTTTGTTTTTCCTAATTTTGACAAAAATGTGATCAATACAACTAGTAGACTCACCCCGCTCGTTACTTACAGCATTTAATAATGAGACAAAATTGTATTCTCCCATTATATCTAAATATTCACTTACTGGATCCCACCTCTCCTCCTTCAATATATCCAGACTTATATCTCCTACAAAATAATGCTCTTCTACTATAGTCTATTTTTATGTGTGAAAGAGTATTAAAATAATAAAGCGTTTGTAATCCATAGGCGTAACACTTCTTTTAATAGACAGTTAAAATATTTTTTGAAGTTATTCCTCGAGTATACACTTATATTTTCACCTAATTAACCTGCTTATAACTTCTAAACAGCTGAAGGTAAAAAAGTGCAATTTTTTCTAAAATGTTTTATTTTTCCACAAGGTATGTTAAGAACATTGTGTCAAACGGGTTATGTAGATATAAGGGCTTAAACTTTGACTTTTAAACAACGTTACGTTCATAAATAATAATTTTAATATAAAAACTACTTCTTCCTACAAATCCAAATCAGAATCGAAATCAGAAGATGAACTATGGCAACCAATATTTACAATGAGTGGCTCGATCATTTCATCAGTAATATTGTCCAACTTCCACATTTTTTCTTCTTCTTTAATCGTATGATTTACTGCCTTTTCCCAATAAACCACCTTTAACACAACCGTTTGAACTACCGATGTGTACTATTATTAGTCTGCGCCCCTTTCCTGATGGTGAATTTAAACCAGTAGATAAATTATTTAAAAAAGCCTGTCTTCGACTTGTAACAGTTTCATCTTGCCAAAATATATTTGGTTTATGTCCCTCGTTGATCCATGTTTCATCTAAATAAAATATATTTCTTCTTTGGTTTCTCATTTCTTTTATAGTCCTTAGGTAATTTCTTCTCCATATTACAATATCGCTTTTTCCTATTAAAATAGACTTAATAATAATAATAATAAATAATAAAAGTTTATTTGAAAAATGTACAAAAAATTAAATATAATAAATTTTTTTTTTAAATACATTTTTTTTTAATAATATAAATATTTTTTTTTTTTTAGGTACATACAAATAAACTACCCATTGCCACAAAGTATAAAAACTGTCCGTGGCGTGTGTAGAGATATGTTAAGTACTATTTTATGTTTTATTTTACAATTAATTAATATAATACAAATACTGACATATAATAATAGAGAAATTTGCCGCTTTTTTTTTTTAATTTTCATCATTTTTTATTTTTTATTTTATTTATTTTTTTTTTTTAATAAATTTTTTTATTCTTTTTTTTTATTTTTCATTTATCTATCGATATTCATATCAATAATATTTCTGATATTTGCTCTATATTCTTCTAATAAAAATTTTTTTGTTCTTGTTTTAAATTGCGATAATGATTTTGATTTTAGAATTTTTGGAGGTAAATAATTTAACACTTTTGATGCTAAGAAGAAGTGGCATTTTTGGCCTACAGTTTTGCGAGATGCTAAGTCTTTATATTTAATTTTGTTTTTTCGTCTTGTTTCATGTTCATGAGTAACAATATTAAGGCTAGTTGGGTTTTTATAGTAGTAGTTGGCAATTTTAAGGAAAAAGTGTTTTTTAGGATCTAATATTTTTAATTCTTTGTATAGTTGGTCCGAGGGGTAAGTACGATTTTTTTTATAAATAATTTTTAAGAATAATTTTTGAATAGTTTCAATTTTTTCTAGATAAACATTAATTGCTCCACCCCAGCCAATGATTCCATAGTTTATTCTCGATTCCACCAAAGCATAATATAACATTTTTAGGTAAGGTAAATCCAGGATATTTGTAAGATATTTAAATTTATATAGAAATGTTCTTAATGTATTAACTACCTTATTTATATGATGATTCCACCTTAGGTGACAATCAATTGTGATACCCAAATACTTAACTTTTTTTTCTGATTTAATTTCAATATTTTTGCTATTATATATTATGTTTAGAGTATTATAGTTGGGAAGATTGTTTTCGTAACTTGTTAGAGATAAAAAGTGTGTTTTATTATAATTAACAGTAAGAAGCCTATGATCAAACCAATTAAAAAGGAGTTTTAAGTCATCCTCAACTAATACCTTTAAGTCCTTCCACGTATCTGCCGAATAGAAAACAACGGTATCATCGGCAAAGCTAAGTACCTGGCCCTTATTATTTAATGATAATAAATCATTAATATATATATTAAACAGAAGTGGGAATGCTTTTTCCATAGAAAACCTATTTCCTTTAAAAGTTTCCATAGTGTGCTTCGACTCATTTCAGGGTAATCCTTATCATCTCGAACCGTGGCAAGAACTTTGTCTACTGTCGGAAATTCTTTTCTAAAGAAGAACGCATGCACTTTCCTTCGAAGTCTTTCTTTCAAAAGATTTTCTAATTGAAGTTTTGGTTTTCCTGGAGCTTTACGTGCTGTTTGAAATTCCCCACATTTCTCTTCTTTAACAACTCTGTAAATCGTAGATTTCCCAATACCAAGCGTACTACTAACTAATTCCACTGTGTCATTAACACTTTTACATAAATGTTTGTCTGTAAATGATTTAAAACAATTAAATATTAATGTTTTTTCATTAACTGTTAAAGAACCGATTTTTTGTCGTTTACGCGGCCCTTCCAAATTTTCAATGATCACACTAGAATTCACATTGCACCTTGCAAGTTGCAACTAAACGACATTTAGTAAACTGTCAAGAATACACAACTTGGACCTCCTTACTAAATGGAAAACCTATAATCGCATTTTCGGTGAAATTTGTTGTGAAGGTATTTATCTACTTATAATTCGATTACTGTAAGAAATTCTTGTAATTAAAATAAAACAAAATTGGCAAATAGGTACTTATTGAAAATAATCTTAAGATACGGCTATGTTATCTTTAATACACAGGGCTTTTGGCCTGTCCAAACTTTTTTCTTTTGTTCTGTACAACTTATGTTTATAAACGACCAATAAAAGACCCAAAACTTGTAATAGCTCAGGTACATTTATTACAATTTTAGGAAATATTTAGATTATTCTGTAAAAATATTTAAAATGACCGTACTAAGTTTTGCATTAAAAATGCTGTTTTATTACTCTCTCATACATAAAAATAGACTATAGGTATGCTTTTGTTTGTTCTAGGTTTATTTGCAGTGCATTTAAAAAAGTTGTCTTTGTCTCCAGCGGGAGACCTATAAAGGCAGGTAACAAGAATATATTTATTTTGTGAGGTTTTAATTTGTAGTTCAATCGCTTTACAATGCGCTAGTCTTATTATTTTTGCTATGCATTCAATATCCTTTTTAACATAGACCACTACTCCATCATTTCTGTTATAATCTCCTGCATTATATAGTTTTTAAGTTTATGACAATTAATATCAAGAATTTTAAAGGTTTCTGTTAAACCAATTAATTCAAAATTACATGTAATTTGCTCCAAATTTATTTTATATTTATCTAAATTTTTGTTGATACTTTGTATATTTTGATGTAGTATTTTAAAGTGAGTTTTATTATATTTATTTAAATATTTATTAACTTCTAAAATATTTTTACATTCCATCGTACTTACTGGATTAAAATTAAAATCTCGAACAAATTGATTTATATTGAAAGTAAATTGTTATAATATATAATTGTATACTTGGTTTTTTAAATTATTTTTTTGGCACTCTGTTTAAGGCACTATTTTTTTAAAGCTTAATAGCTTCGGAATTTGATGGTTTTCTTTCTCTAAGATATCTTTCTTGCTGCCGTCTTTCAGATAAAATTTTTCCCTCCAGCTCTAAGTTTTCGTCAGCAGTCGGTATTCGGGGAGCACTGTTGGACTGCTGTATGAAATCTTCTCCTATTTTGAGGATGTCCTCCACCGTATACACCTTATTATTTCGATTCAGTCTTTCTCCTTGTATGTAACAGTTATCCTGACTAACACTTCTTATTTGTTTAAGATGATCTCTGAGAATTTTATTTCTTGCTTGCCGTAACTTAGTTAGGTCTTGCGTTATGGTAATTTTTTTGCAATTCAGTTTTTTACATTTACTTAATACATTCACCTTACTAAAGTTAAATATAAACTCTATTATCAGCGGCTCTTTTCCTGAATTACCTCCAATTAAATTCAAGTCTCTGACGTCACTACTTTTTATATTTATATCCAATAATTTATTCAACTTGTTACAGACGTTATTTGGACTAACTTCTTTATGATTTTCAACCAGTCCAAAAGCCACTAAGTTCTTCTTTTTTACCTTCTCTCCAGGTATTCCACCCTCCCTCTCAGTTCTTTATTTTCTTCTTCCAACTCTTTAACTTGTTCATTTACTAATTCAATTTTCGACAAAATTCTAGTCTCACTATCAAGGATAGCGTTTTTCAGTTCTTTAATAATTTCTTCCTTCAACTTTTCCAATGCTTTTAATTAATACTTCGTCGCCTTAGAACCAGGTTATTCTAAGTCCATTTTTTTAAAAATTGCAGGAGACGGTTTTTAAAGTTTAGTACGTTATAACGTCTACAACTTTGTGATGTTCATTATAAATATTATGTTTTAACCCAGTTCAATTATTTGCTAAAAACAGGTAACCGACACATTTACTACAATTTTTGACATTTAAGAGAAAAATGTCATTAAAAAAAATATGTTGGGCACATAGAATTAATCAGACTTTACACAATAAATTAATTACTTAATCAAATTAGCCTATGTCCACAGAACATTTTTATAATAAAGAAAACAGTGGTAGAAAAATAATTTTTAATTCCAACTTTCAACCTAGTGAAAAAACAAAATGCAGAACTAACTTAAGATTACAAGATTATTCATATTTTAGTATTACTTAAAAGTTTAAAAATTTTTTATAACACACTTCCAAAATGGCAAGTCTATAGCGGAAAAATGATTTGACAAGCTCTTAATATGAGCAAGTTTATCAACTGGCAGATCAGGAGGAGGTTGCTGAACTGGAGGAGCTGGAATATTATCCAAAAATGATTGTGGATTATTTTATCTGGTACGTTTTAAAAACAGTACTCTAATAGGAGTTTTTTCGCTAAAAGTTAATTTGTATTCAACGTAGCATAGATTATGTCCATAAGAAATTTCAACTAAAGTTTTGTATGGGACAGTCGATAAAGTGACGA